AGAGAGAGAGTAGGCAGAGTGAAAGAGATACCCATGTAGCCGCCAGAGGGGAAAGATGTTAGCTGGAACCTTGCCGGCAGGCTATGAGCCTCATGATAAAATATAAAATAATGAAAATGGGGTAATACTATATGTAAGAGCTAGCTAGCAATACTCTTAAATGATTGGCCAAGCACTGATTTAAATAATATAGTTTCTGAGTGATTATTTCTAGAGTCTGGACAGCTGGGAAATGAACAAGCAGCCTCCCCCAACATGTGTTTGATGTGTGCATGCAGAGGCCATACATTGGCATCGGGTATCTTTCTCGATCACACTCCACTTTAGTTCTTGAATTAGTCTCTTGCTGAAGCTGGAGTTCAGGACTCAGGGAACTTCCTGTCTCCTTCCTGGAGTGCTGGGATTAAGGGACTATGCTGCTAGACCCAGCTTTTTAAGTGGATGCTGGGGATCCAAACTCAGGCTCACATGTTTGAATGGCAAGCACTCTGCTGACAGAGCCATCTGTCTAGCCTCCCTGTGGGAAGTTTTAATATCTCACTGATGTGGAGAACTCCCCACTCCACCCCCTAGTGTAATGTTTGGTACAGTGGTGTAAAATTTCTGGTGAAAACTGAGAAAGGGCTTATAGCTCTCACTGGGGTTGAACTAATATACCTAAGAAGCCAGCCCAGAAGCAGAAGCAGAGGGTGACATTGAACATGGACGTTGTATGAAACTTCTAGAAATGTCAGCTAGGTTGTTCAGCAAATATCTGTTTTATAGACGTCTTCCCATTTCAAACACCATTCTGGTCTCAGACCTGGCCCGAATAAGAAACATGAGATCAAATTGATTCCAAAGCTCTATACCTGGCCCAGTTGGGTGAGAAGTCTGGCTTAATTCCAGAATCACCCAGTCAAGGCAATCTTTGGCCTAAAATGTTCAAGGGCTACAAACAATAACTGCACTGATGTCTCAGAGCCAACCTGAATCCTCGAGACTTCAAGTACTGGAAAAATCTGACCTCACTAGAAAAGGCCGTGTCCACGTGGAAAGACGACGGAAGCTATGATGTAATAATTGAGTAGTCAGAAAACATTGTTGCCAGGGAACATAAAGCTTTCCAGCTCTATTGGTTTGGCCCTGGTGCTACCCTGTGCAAAATCTCCCTCTTTCCTGTCACTACATCTCCAATTCTCCTCTCTGGGGTACCAGGGACCTGATCAGCTGCATTCTCAATGTTGTTGTACGGATTGGAAACCAAGGACTCAGTGCTCTGCCATGTGACCCCAACAACTTCTTTAGACTGTGCCAATGTAGTCAACCGCCTCAGTGATAACGCGAGGAAGGAGGGGGGCACGCACAACAGTTTGAAGGGAGTCCCTAAGACATCTTCCAATGGGCTGGCGAATTCATTTCGGCCCACCTACTCCTCTCAGACCTCTTAAGAAACTCCTTCTCATTGAAACTCGAATAAGCCCTGAAGTGTGAAAGTTAGTACCCTTCTTCCCGCGGTTCTCCTCGGCCCCTTCTCGGGGCCCACCCTCTGCGGACGCAGAGCCGCTGGCCCGTGCGGGCTATAGCGACGGCGGTCTCTGATGCAGTCAGTCCTCTGGCCGGCTTGGGCAGCGTCCCAACCGCCCGCGCTCGGGCTGTCCGCCGCGATGCCCTGCAGGGGAGGCGGCGACACACTGCGGGAAGAAGGGACGGACAGTCTCTGCAGCGGTACCCGGGCAGGGCCCACGGCCAGCGCGGGGGATGGGTGCGGAATAACGGACGGCCGCGCCAGGCCCCGTCCGCCCGGCTCCGGACTCCTCCGGGTCACCCCTCCGTCATCTACCGCGCCCCCGGGGGACGGACGCGCGGCGGACTGCGGGCGTGGGGGGCGCGGCGCTCGCTGGAAGCGCGCCGAGAGGCCGGAGACGGACCCGCGTCCGCGAGAGCGCCCGGACGCCCGCCGGCGGGAGCGCGCCCGCTCTGACGTCACGAGCCGCTCGCCCAATGAGCGGCGTCCCTGCGGGGAGGGCGCCGTTCCCGCCCTCGCCCGCCGCCGCCGCCGGTCGCCGGCGCTCGGGCCACCCCCGGGGGGAGCGTCTGTGGAGGCGCGGGGCCGCGGCGGGCTAGGGCGCCGCACGGCAGCGGCGCCGGGCTGCGGACGACGCTCGGGACGGGCCCAAGGAGTCGCTCCTCCCCGACCGATGTCCGCAAGATGGAGGCGGCGGGGGCGACGGCGTGAGGAGGGCGGCGCGGAGAGCGCGGGAGCAGGCCGGCGGGCGGCGGGGGCGGCGGGATGGGGCTGCTGCTCATGATCCTGGCGTCGGCCGTGCTGGGCTCGTTCCTCACGCTGCTCGCACAGTTCCTGCTGCTCTACCGCAGACAGCCCGAGCCGCGGGCGGACGAGGCGGCCCGCGCGGGCGACGGCTTCCGCTATCTCAAGCCGGTGCCGGGCCTGCCCCTGAGGGAGTACCTCTATGGCGGCGGCTCGGAGGAGCCCGCGGCCGGGTCGTCCGAGGCCACCCCGACCCCCGACAGCCCGGCCCCACCGACGCGGGAGACCTGCTACTTCCTCAACGCCACCATCCTGTTCCTGTTCCGGGAGCTGCGGGACACGGCGCTCGCCCGCCGCTGGGTCACCAAGAAGATCAAGGTGGAGTTCGAGGAGCTGCTGCAGACCAAGACGGCCGGCCGCCTGCTAGAGGGGCTGAGCCTGCGCGACGTGTTCCTGGGCGACACGGTGCCCTTCATCAAGACCATCCGCCTGGTGCGGCCCGTGGTGGCCTCGGGCACCGGCGAGCCCGACGGCCCCGACGGGGACGCGCAGCCCGCCACCTGCCCCGAGGAGCTGGCCTTCGAGGCGGAGGTGGAGTACGACGGCGGCTTCCACCTGGCCATCGACGTGGACCTAGTGTTTGGCAAGTCCGCCTACCTGTTCGTCAAGCTGTCGCGGGTGGTGGGCCGGCTGCGTTTCGTCCTCACCCGCGTGCCCTTCACTCACTGGTTCTTCTCCTTCGTGGAGGACCCGCTGATTGACTTCGAGGTGCGCTCCCAGTTCGAGGGGCGGCCCATGCCCCAGCTCACCTCCATCATCGTCAACCAGCTCAAGAAGATCATCAAGCGCAAGCACACCCTGCCCAGTTACAAGATCAGGTGAGGGACGGGCGGGCCGGCGGTCAGGGCAGCGGTGGCTGCCCGGGGGCGGTGGCCGGAGAAGGGCAAGGCCCAGCGTAGCCCTGGTCTGCAGTGCGCTTCCGTCTGGACATGGGCCCCTAGGGAAGGACAAGCGTGTAGTGGACGTTTCCCGTGCTGCCCAAGGCAGCGGTGGGAGCTGGGAGCTCTACCCTGGCGGCTCAGAGCCTCTTTTCCCCTTGGGCCCCCCGGGGATTGTCGGGACACACTTGTCTGTGGTTGCTGCATCCTGGGAGCGGCTGCTGTGTCGCTGTCTTTTGCGCATCTCCTGGACCACGTGGAGTTGTTGTTCCTGCACACACTGCAGGCCTGAAGGGTGTGCTCACAGCGCAAGTCTGGTCTGTGTGCACAGGCTTTAGTGCCTTCACAGCTCTCGGGGCAAAGGCAGGGGTTGCTGCAGAAGGAGGTGACTTAAGAGTTGAGTTCTGTGCCTGGCGGTTTTCTCTGTAGATTTGGAGTATCTGTCATCTGCCCTTGGGAAGTAGGTTCTGCACCACAGACAGACCCAGACTCCACTTCTTAGGTGTCTATTCCCTGCCGCTGGTCCTTACCCAAGTCATCTTGAGGGTCGTACTTTGACGATAGTCATTTTGAGTTGTTTGAAGTCCTCTGTGTGTGGTGACCTGATTTTATGTGATATATTGTTTTGAGTTTTCTTTTACGGACACGGAAGTGGAAGGGAAATGAAAATTTGGAGGATCAAAGGCTTCATATGTGGGTCTTGGAAGGCTTGTTTGAGTAGAAAGGCTCATGTTTCTTTTTAAGAAACCAACTTTCAAACTTTTCTATCCGTTAATGTGTTCACTGAGTTGAACGTTTAGATTTTGGTCTGCCCTGTGAAGTTACCTAGTGTGGTCTTACATGACTACTGTGCTTTAGTGGAGCGTGAATGCCCCTTGACGTTAGAGCACTACCACAGTCTCGAGCCACGTAATCCCGAAATAGTCCAGATTTGGAATGAATTTTTGATTTGTGAAGCTTCGACTTTACTGGTTATGGTTTGTTAAACTAATAGAATGAATGCCGTTGGGCGGCGAGAGAGCTACTGTATGGGGCACATATTCTAGGGCATTTGCAGGGGTGGTGCCCTGGTCATCGACAGCGCAGGATGGCCAGTTCTTTAAAGCAGATACAGTTTACGAAACCTACTTTTACGTGGTTACATTATGAGTTGTAGTTTTTAAGCAGTTTAAGTGTTTATAGTAGTGTGTTGCTAAGAAAGTTATAAACAAAAGTTACAAGTTCTGATAATTCATTGGTCGACCAGAAGCTACTACGGAGTGAGTGCATTGCTCATAAGTAAGTTTTGGACATTTATTATGCCCTTCTTACCATTCTCAGTGCTTGAGATTCAGTACTGATCAGAAATAAAGACTGCCACCACCTTCATAAAGTTTAGAGTTTAGTGAGAATTGAATTGTCCGCTCAATAACATTTACACTAGGGTGGAGTTGATAGAGGGTTGAAATGACTAGGAAGCTGCCTTTAGATTAGTCAAAGGAGAATGGAAATGCCAGGGGGATGTGCTACACCTCTCCTGTGGCCACTTCTCCAGATGTGTGCTACACTGATGTTGTTGTGGGGCTGACCTTCTAAGAGGATGAATTACCACCCATCTAGACAGACCATTCCCACAAAGAGGACATAACTAGTGTTTACCCTGTTTTATTGAAGAGAAGAGCGCGTAGTAGTTGGACAACTCGCTTTACTTGAGTCAGCTGTCAGGTGAAGCTCAGCTTGGATAAAGTGAGGCTATCTCGTTAATTCTTTGTAATCTAAAGGAATTTATTTCAACTTCATTTACTCTCTACATTTCTTGGACTGGGAATGAGCCACCAATAAATGCTTATTAGTTTAAATTTTTGCTCTCTGCTCACAAAAACTTGTACATTGTTCTGATTAAATGAAGAGAAATACGCAAAAAGTTTCCTTTGTTTTAGGAATTAAAAATGACATTTTACACAGCCCAAACCTTTAACCCTAAATCCAGAACTAAGTCCCATAAGTGCATCAGAATCACTCCATTTAATTATCTTGATTACTAGTAATGCCAAAAATATATAATGGCTCTCAAAGCAGAACAAATTAGCAAATGGCGAGGTTGTCTTCTTTGGGCACACAGAGTTTTGATCTTGATGACTGTTAATGGTGCTAGGGGCGGCAGCTGAACCTGGAGTCTGCTGGGAAAGGATTCAGATAATGCGCCTCAGCCTCAGTAGTTCCACATGCCCCCTTTCTTGTTCTTAAATGATTTTTCCCCCAAAGTATGATATCAGAACAGTAGGTTAATATTTTTCTCAATTAATCCGGAACTCGGAGTAAAATGTACCTATGAAACTTCCTACCCGACTTAAACTGGAAGTTTTGAGAGGGTCTTTTAAAGTTACATTGTAAGGCTGAGTCTTCAGGTGTTGCTCTACACAGCATTTCTGTTTTAATCCCCCAGATTGTGTTTATCCCTTTGAACATCTAATCTTCTTAGTAAGAGCTAAAAGAGTAAAGTATTTTGAGTCTGGTTCTTTGATGCTTTAATTATTATATAACAAGTGTCTTGTTGGTGAACATAGTTGTTCTTTCTAAACCTTTTTTTTATTTTCTTTTTCCATGTTGCTGAAATGAAGTCGCCCGTCCGTTACAACTGCCAGGTCCCAGTGTTTGACCTGGAAATAATCAAGCTTCCCTAAGAACTCAGATGCTTAAATTTTACCCAACGAATGCAGTCAGTTTATAAAACAATAGAATTTTTTAAAAAATGAATTGTAATATGCTGAAATTTGTTCTCTATTGTATTAAAGTTAGGAGTTGTTTCTTAATTCATCCCCCTCATTTTAATTTTTTTCTTAAAACGTACTTTAAAATAGTGCATAAAGTAGAAATCTTTAAAACTTTTAACTTCTAATTTCATCTTATCATTGGTGCTCTCTGGTACATGGAGAGTCTGTCTTCCCTCTGAAGTCAGGGTTACGGTTTAGGGTGGCAGGGCAGGGATATCTGCGGCTTGGGAGTCACATATTTTAGATTCTTACTAATGCTTTAATGCAGTTCTCCATGTAGTGGGGACCCCCGCCCATTAAAACTGTTTTTATTGCGCTTCATAACTGTAATTTTGGCACTGTTGTGAATGGTGATGTGAGTATCTGTGTTTGCCATTGATTTTAGGCAACCCCAGTAAAAAGGCTGTTTGGTTCCTCAAAGGGGTCTCGACCCACAGGTTGAGTGTTGGCAGAGGTTTTCTGTCACTCCTGGTCCTGCAGCATTTATAAACAAATATCTTAGCAGCTGCTGCTTCTTCCTCAGCATTCAAACAATTCAAAGAGAGCATAATAGCACACAGTATCCAGACTGTGTATTTTACATCTTTACGTGGCTTTACTTTAACCTCTATTTATTTTTATTTTTTTGGCTTTTGAAACAGGGTTTCTCTGCTTATCTTTGGCTGTCCCGGAATTCACTTGGTAGGCCAGGTTGTCCTTGAACTCACAGAGGTGTGGGATTAAAGGTGTGTGCCACCACACCCAAACCAACTACTTTCTCTCTTATTTTAAGGACTTTATCCTTTTCCTTTGTCTTCCAAGCCTACATATGTTTTTAAAAACACTGTGAACCATTTCTAGGTTTTCTTTGCCTTTGAATCTATCTTTACTGTATATCTTTTTCTGACTACACAAGTCTTTAATTTGCTAAGCAATAAGGCTAGGATTAAAGCTGGGGTTTTGATGGCTAAATCCAGTCCATCTGTAGCTTTCTGAGATTCCAGCCTCATGGTGGAGGTACCACCTGGAGCTGTGTTTATTGCCACAACTCTACTGCCTTTAAAGGTCTTTGCCACCACCAAAAAGGATGCGGTCAGCTTTCCATCAACACCATTTAAGTGTTTCGTGGCAGGACTTCTTAAAAGAGCTGCAAGGTTTTGCAGCTAAAGCTGAGTCAAGAAGCCTCTCTTGAGAGTACTTGCCTCTAGCAAGCAGAGCAAACCAGAGAAATTGCTGCTACCAAGAAGCCATGCTTAACTCTGTTCCAAGCTCTCTCAGGTTTTCTGTGGATGCACTTGTCCACACGTTGGGCACCATTCTGTTGACCAAGGTTTCTGTTGACAATTGAGAACTACTGTTTTAGCGTGTTCTTGGCTTGTAACCAAAACTAGTTGCTTAAGGGAAGGATAAATTCAGTTTGTAGGCATTGTTTATCTGGCCTGTACTAGTTTCCCAATGTTAAAGGTTGGAGGGTTTTTTTTTTTTTTTTTTGAAGTCAATTTCTGGCTTCTGGTTTTCACGATTTCCATATCTGCATTTCTCATCACAACAGAAGCAAAGGAAATGTAGTAGCTCCAGGGTGAAACTTGTGTGTAAACTGTCCTGTACTTCCTAGTCCCTGCTCACCTGTCCCCTCTGAGTTGGCACCTGCCTGGTTTGGAGTCATGTGCCTATGAGACCCTTCCTGGAATGCTTGCTGATGAGACTTGAAGGTGGGCGATGTTTTCACCCTTTCTAAACTTTTTGAAAGAGCTGCCGTTGAGCAATTTTATTTTTATTAAAGAGTCTCTGTAATGTTGAATTTTAAAAAGTCATTCTGCTGCAAATTAAAAACCTTAAAATATTTCCATTTGATGTGTTGAGTAGTAATAGTAAATTACTTTTGTTTTACTAATAGTCTGCCTTTTGTTAGAAACTGTTTTACTTGAGTGGATTTGGTCAATAATTAAACATTTTTCAGCTACAAAAGAAGAAACAGACACTTAATTGGTATTATATTTTAATTTATTGCATATGGAAAACATGGAGAAATCATTTATAGGTATAAAATACCTTTTGGAATCTGAATGTTGTAACTGATTATTTCGTCCTATTTTTTTTATTCCTGTAAACATTCTGAAATATATTTGTAGAAAATTTTCACATATCCTCAGTGACTGGAAAGCAAAAAAGACCACTATTTTATCTCTGCTAATGTTGAGGGACAGG